TCAATAGCATGTAGATCAATTCAAAATAATAAATTAATCATAAAAAGAATGATTAAAACGTAATACTCCCCTGATTGAAGAATAAACTCTCTTTAGCGCATCGTCAAGAGCGTGCTGATAACGTGTTGTAGGCATTATTTACTGAACAATTATGGAGGCCATAGAGAGATAGAAAGGTGCAGCAATAGTAGAGAGAAAGAGAGAGATATGTAATTGTGGGTGTGTGTTATTCCACCCTTTTGTGCCTTTATTTATAGTAGTAGGGAAGGTTAATTTCTTACCCTTTAGGATTACAACTCTTAATAGGTAATCTACTCCTAATAGGAATTTAAGAGATATCCCTAGATATACTAGGATTTACATAATCACATTCCTAATCTAATAGGACTGCAACACTTTTGGCTTTTTAGCCAAAATGATCCTTGAGATTTGTATTCCTCCTTACTTTAGTCCCTGAGATTTGAAAATAATAAAATTGGTCCTGAGATTGTCCACCATCATTTATTGTGGTTATTCCATGAATAGTTATGTTAAATAAATATCAAAATAATAAAAATACCCCCCAATTTAATAAACAAGAGGTCAAAATTGATGAAAATTGAGGATATTTTTGTCGTTTTATCCTTATTTAATGGATATTTTTCATAGAATGACCAAAATGATTGATGATAGACAAACTCAGGAACCAATTCTATCGATTTCAAATATCTAGGATCAAAGTAAGGAGTTATGCAAATCTCAAGTACTATTTTGGCTAAAAAACCAATCCTTTTAGATAGTAGACAATATTAACTTAGTTTATTATTTATCAATACAAACAAGTTATAATCGTTGCTGATGATGTTTCATGTCATGTGAGAACATCATACAATAGGCTAATTATCAACCAAGTGACTTCACTTTGCTATGAACTATCCGAATATTCGAAGGAGAATTTGGACTAACCAGAATACTCGAAGGACTAACCGTACTATTTAAAGGAGGATCTATGCACCGTTTTTTATAGTATCGTTCTATTACGTAATAAGGTCCTAGAGTCTACTATGAATAACAACTAATTAAATAATAATTTAATTAATCAATAATCATATCATATCCAAGGTTTAATTGATGTTCACGTAAATATCGATAGCTCAATTTACGGATATATGGACAGATATTTTTAAAGATATTTTATATGTAAAGTAATATTTGGTATAAAAATTAAGTATTTAATTATATCTAATTAATTTCATTTTATATAGAGTATTTTGTTATTAAATTTCCAATCTATAATATATCTGTAGGTAAATTTATTTTATGTAAATATTAGTTACTGCCTACTGGGCACTTTTATTTTACATCATTATCTTTTAATCATGTGTGCCGAGTTAATCCAAGCTGAACGGAATGAACGGTTCCCCAATATTTTTTTTAACTTAAAGCCTAAACGGTCCGTTTTTTATTTTCTTATTTTACCAGGACCGAAACGACATTGTTTAGGCCTGAATTTTACAAAAATATTAAAGCTGCACGCAGCAGCAATGGAAAACTGCAGTCTGCAGATCCCGCGAGACCAGAGCCAGAAGGGCGGCAGCACAACAAACTAAGATTTCTAGTAGAGGTGGGGTTGAAGGGGAGCGAAAGGTGCAATCGTACAACATTCCCAAGTTTGAAGGGGTCCCTAAAAATTTGTGTTATCATCTTTATATGTAATAATGTTATAGATCTTAAAGTTAGAATATTTGAAGTTTTTTTTTTCTTATTTGGTTGTTTAAGATTGAACTGATTTTGATTATTTAGTGAATGTTATGTTTATAACCCTTTTTACTTATTATTTAATGACATTTGTAAGCATACAATCAATGAATCCTAAAGTTTGTTTTGATTTAAGTTATTGCTTTCTAACACCAATACATTGTCCTACTTTTTTTTTTTGTGAAAAAAAATAAAATAAAATAAAAACCATCTTTAAAAGAGGCCCTTTTACAAATTTCGTAGCCCCCAAAATCATAGAGACAACTCTGATTTCTAAGCTTCTTTCCCAGCTAGAGGAAGGGCGGCCGTCCCTCTCTATGCCTTAACAGCTTCGCCACTAATGATATATATGTAGACAAAAATAAATAGGGTAAATTACATTTACATACATCAGGTTTGGGGCCTATTTCAATTCCTTACAATATCTTCAAAACATTTCACTTTCATACCTTAAGTACTATTTTATTTCAAAATAATACATTCGTTACATTTTCCATCCATGGATCCGATAAGTGCTGACGTGGATGTCAAATGTGTGCCACGTGGCAAAAATTTTGTTTTTTAATTTTTTTTTTAAAAACCTGAATTTTCTCAAAAAAAAAAAAAAAAAAAAAAAAGGTAAATTACACTATACCACCTCAGGTTTAAGCTCAATTTCAATTCTTACAACATCTTTAAAACATTTCACTTTCATACCTCAAGTACTATTTTATTTCAATATAATACATCCGTTAAATTTTCCATCCATTGGTCTGTTAAGAGCTGACGTGGCAATCATATTTGTGCCACATGGCATTTTTTTTTTATATATACATTAAACAATAATTAATTAAAGAAAAGTTTATAAAAACAAAAACAAAAACGCAGAAACCCATCCCTTTCCCCGCAACCCTCCACCCCTCTCCTCTACTCTGTTCACCTCCCCAACCGATCCATGCCGTTGACTTCCCTTTCTTTAAACCCTGCGCCCCCAAATCCTCAAAAGCCTAAAAAAACCCTATTTCTGTCGCACCCTTCGCCCTTGACCTCCAAATCGAAATATCCACAAATCCTAACCCCGACTCTGCTGCCACATTCACCTTGAAATCCTAGCAGGGCGGGACGGCGACGTTCGATCTGCCAATTAATACAGCGGTTATCTAAGAACCCTTTTGGGGTTTTTAAGATCTCCCTTCTCTCTCCACACCCGACGCCCAGAAGAACTCACACCCAGATCCCACAGAAAAACTCACGCCTGACCCCACCGTATGCGTCGCTCTGTCGGAGGCGCGCAGTGTGCGCTGGATTGACTAATACGACGGAAGATGGGTTTTTGGAGATCATTTTTGCTGATGCGACAAGGTTGGTGAGGCTGAGGCACCCCAGGGTGGTGCACATGGTGCAGGCTCTGGATGAGAACAAGAATGTCATGGCAATGGTGACTGCCGGATCTGAGTCAGCCGAATCTGTCCATGGGGTGCAGGTGTTCGCGACGGAGGCGAAATAATCGATTCTGGAGCACCAGGTGAGGGGTGCGCATGATAAGGGGTGGGGTGAGGGGTAGTGGGGAGGTGGGGGTGGGGTAGGATGGGGGGGTTTGGGTTGCGAGGAAGGGGAAGGGATCGGTTGGGGGAGGAGATGGGGGTTGCAGGGAAGGGGAAGGGATGGGTTTCTGGGGGTTTTTGTTTTTTTTTTAACTTTTCTTTAATTAATTATTTTTAAATGCATAAATTTTTTATTTTGCCACGTGGCACAAATTTGGCTGCCACGTCAGCACAAATGTGGATCCCATATTTGCCAGGTCATCACTTAACGGTTTACTTAACGGATGTAAGAAATTGAAATAAAACGATAGTAAATGTATGAAATTGAAATGCTTTAAAGATGTTGTAAAGAATTAAAATCGAGCGAAAACTTGAGCGGGTAAAATGTAATTTACCTTTTTTTTTTTTCAATTTTCTTTTCTTTTTTTGAGAAAATTCAAGTTTTTTTAAAAAATTAAAAAAATATTTTATTTGCCATGTGACAGACATTTGGCAGCCACGTGGCATATATGTGGCAGCCACGTCAACATTTAATAGATCAATGGATGAAAAATGTAACGGGGGTATTATTTTGAAATAAAATAGTACTTAAGGTATGAAAGTGAAATGTTTTAAAGATGTTGTAAGGAATTGAAACAGACCCCAAACCTGAGGTATGAAAATGTAATTTACCCAAATAAATAATACCATGCGACAAAGTCTTTCCTGGATTCAGTTTCATTATTTACTACAGAAGCAGAGTATACAGTTTCAATACTTGCTGCTCAAGAGTGTGTTTGGCTTCGACGACTTGTGAGCGACGTTTATCTACCTATTGACAAGCCAACAATTCTATTTGGGGACAATCATAGTGGTATCAAACTTGCATCCAATCCAGTGTATCATGCCCGAACAAAACACATTGAGATTGAGCACCAATCACTTCATTTGTGAGAAGGTATTGAATGGAACAATTGTTGTCAAGTTCGTTCGTAGTGCAGAGAATATTACAGACATCTTAACCATGACTATTGGGCTAGAGTATTCACTTAACTCGTTTGGAAGTACTTTTAAAATAACTGAAAACGCTTTTAGAGAAAATGTTTTTAGGATCAATGCTTAGTTGAATCCACGCAAGTGAATCCTGAAAAAGCACTTCAAATGTTTCTGGAACCCAACCATGCAAGTGAATCCTGATAAAGCACTTGAACTACTTTCTGAAAGAAGCACATAATTAGTTTCAGGAAGCACTTCAAATGTTTCTGGAACTCAAAATTATTTTCTTTAAAAACGCTTTCAGTCATTTTAAAAGCACTTTCAAATGAGCCCTATTACATTACTAATTTTGAATTGAAAAACTGATATTCATATGACCGGTGTGAATAAGATAATCCAAACAAAACCAGATTAGTTATATAACAAAGAACTAGCAGCAAAAGCCAACAATCAGTTGACAACCAGGGAAGTAATCCAAATACTATATCTTAATAAACTAAAATATTTCCTACAAATTAAAAAGATAAATGGACAAAACAAAACCTGGATAAGGATGATGCAGGGCCAAATTTTGTTGCACAAAACTAATGAGCAAGGAAAGCAAGCATTAATGAACAAAGAAAATCGATGTCTTTGTGACCAAAGCACACTTAGCCGTCGTTCTTTGAATTAATCTACTTGTATTGCATTTCTTTGAAGCACTTGAATTACATATGTTTGCACAAAATTAATCACCATTAAGTATTAACGATGATATATACATGATTAAAATTGGTTTATCTTAAGCATTTTCAACGGGCTAAGCAGCCTATAAGCACCACCATAACCGTCGTTGATGCTCGAATTTAGACGACGAGAAGGACTGCAAAGCATCAACGAACCATAACCCTTAACAAACCCACAATTAGGAGTACTAATTTCCTCACTGCTCTCCATCTCAGCCAACACATTATAAAACAAATCCACATCACAAGGAAGCAAAATCGGACCGTCGCAGTTGTAACCGTATTCCATTTCGGCATCATCCAGCAGCATCTTAAACAACGGATGATTTGCAAACTCCGTCTTCACCACAAACCGTTGTCTTTGCGGTCCAACGTAGACTGAAAAACACCCGTCCGGAGCTACCTGGCCTTTGCTCTTCCTAGTAGTGGAACTGCAGTGGCATGACTTGCTCTTAGTCATAAGTTGAGTACTTTGCTGCTGCTTTCTCTTTGTAAACTACATCTCTTCCATGCGTTGGCGATCATATTCTTCTTCCACTTTCTCTTTACGATATCCATATATATGAATTTTAACAAGAAAATACAAAGTTATGGACTGAAGAATCTGAGGACCAAACACAAGAGACTTGTATATATATATGTGTGCTTGTGTGTGTGTATGTGTGTGTGTGTATATATATATATATATTTGTATATGCATATACTTGTGTATGCTTTAGAGGTTGGGAAATGAGATGAAGGTCCGAGGGAGGTGTTTATAAAGCACAAAGCCCCATCACCATATAAATACTCTTAATAATACGGGGGATTGTCAACTCTTACAGGCTGATAGATTTTGAAAAATATAATAATTGTTAAGGAAATCATGTGGAGACAATGGAAAGGGCCACTTATTTTTGTCTTTCAACTGCAACGTAAGCTAGCTAGGGTAAGTGGAGTGGAGAAAAAGATAATGTCAAAGAGCAAATAATTAATATAGAAATAAATAACAATATCAACACATGTTTGATTGCAAATTAAGTAAATAAAAGACAACTAAACATATATTTTGGAGTTAATTTAAGGTAGGAGCCAGAAGAATATAAACATAAGATAATCCAAGCTTTTGTCACTTGGTAATATTTGGAGGCCAAAAATGCCGCATTCTGAGTGGCGGTAGGTTAAGTGAGCTTCTTGGAAGTCCTGGTGTTCAATCCCAGTCCAACATCTGCCTAGGTGTGTAATCCCCAAAAACGAATTTCTCCATAACACATGGTTTTTGTGTGTAACAAGATTTATTTAGGTCTTTGCTTAAAGTATTAGCTAGGGTTTTATTAGTTTTGACTACTTTGCGTTGACCCCGAGCCATATACTATCTACGGTGATCGCCATATGGGTAGCTGCCATCATGAAACTGAATGGGTCATCATACCCTTGTTGGAGTACTTGAGTTGATGAGTTCAAGTTTCGTTTGTTTTCTCAATTAAAAATAAATAAAGTTTTTCAACTATTTTATAGAGGAAGAAGATTGGAATGGGTTAGGTATTTTTCATGAATAATTCGTATTATATTTTTGAGTTTAGACATGATTTTTTTCATTTATTTCTTCAACATACCTGAAAAGTAGTAAATTATTAAGTCTAATCCAATCATAACGTTTCAAGAGTCTCCATTAAGGATTGGATCACTTTTAATGACATATTTATTTATAGAATGGGAGCGCAAATCATCATGAATTGGAGATTGATAATTTCTAATCCTTCTATAATTCGTAAGTTTACAGGTACTAAATTATCATATACTGTAAGGTGAGATTCAGTATTTAAATTTTTTGTGTTATATGAAACACATAGAAGTTAAAAATCGAAACAATTACGTATTTTAAATAAACATGTTATAACATGATATCAAGATATTTGTTTGGTCGCAACAGGGTAATAGAGCATACATGTGGCCTAATAAAATTGTCAAATATTTTGTTCAAATGAAGGGCACAAGAGGTGTTACAAACTAATGTTCGGGCCTCTCCCACTCATGACTCATTACCAAGAAAACACACATTCTAAACTATTAGCAATTAGAATTGTGTGAACGTAGTAAATATGAGAAATGCTATAAAATAGGATTTTCTATGGATTATTTTTTGCGATCATATTTTTTACATAATATTTTATAATATAGCACAAAAATTGATGATAAATTGTAAGACCCGAGAGTTCCCTTAGCATTTCTAGTAAAGTTATATACATCCCCCCTTTATGCCCATTTGGAAGACTTGATTAGCCGTCACCAATGCTTGGATGAAACATTCTTCAAACCATATGCAGTTGTCTCTTACTACAGCAGCAACTTGCCTATATTATATAAAGATTGACCTCCTTCATATGAAGCTCCTTCCGTCTTTTGGTCTACTTGTCCTACCTGAATAGCTCACAGAAATTGATTTTTATAGAGTTTGTGACACGCCCCGATCTTGATGTTCGAGAGATTTTAGGATGGCCACGTGCTGGCCGACATCCAAAGGTGACCAAGCCATATTAGGATACATGAGAACCAATGAAAGAAATAGGATTTATAAATTTAAATGTAATTAATATGCAATTGAGAAACGTGTTTAGAGCATACAACTAACTAGAATACTAAAAAGAAATAATATAAATTTGAATGAATAAGAGTATGGGTCCTCCACCAAGAGGACTCGAAGATGCCGATGTGGAAGTGCCTTGACGCCGGGATTGTACGCCTTGAATCTAAATCCTAAGGGGGCGCAAAACAAACATGAGTGGACCAAGTTGATATATATATATATATATATAATACTGAAACAGTTATCAACGTACTATCCCCCAAAGTTTTATGAAAACTAATAGCATAATATGTGATAGGTTTTCCGAAACCCTAGCATACCATAAAAACTTTCATAAAACATATGTCGTATATAGTGTGCTAACTAGTGGTATCAGTATCGCCCGAAGGCCTATAGAACTCTTCCTTTAGAACACTTCATTTGACAAACAGGCACCAACCTACACCCGGCCGAAGCCAATATAAATATCCTTTGCCAAACAAGCACCAACCTACGCCCGGCCGAAGTCAATATAAGTATCATTTGCCAAACAGGCACCAACCTACGCCCGACCAAAGCCAATATAAATATCATTGCCCATAGGCAAAACAGTGACCACTAGATACGCACAAAAACATTGAATATAGTTTTTCCCAAAACATAAGTACATATATATCAAAATCATCTTCATAGCATATAGTCATCCATCATATATACTACAAAGAACATAAGTTCGATAAAATATGGTATTCCAAAATATTCTCAGTATAGCATGATAATCAATAAGTATAAATCTAATTTACTTTTAAAACGTTCACAAAGCGTAATCATTAAATCATGTTTTTCATATATGCATTTCTACTATTAAACTATGCATTTTAGAAGGGGTTCACTCACAGATACTCTTTCATCGTAGAGCCGTATGAAATAGAAATGACGAGATCACCGCTAATAATTGCACCTAAGCACATAAAGGGTACAATTAACAAAACTATACTCAAACGATTGAATTTGAGAAAATGGACGTCATAAACGGATTCAGGACGTCGAAATTAACCTCGAAGAGGTCCCAGACGAAACCACAAAAAAGTCAACAGTCAAAGTTAAAATCAGTGTTGACCGAAGTCAATGGTCAGCATTGACAGAAGTCAACGGGTCAGACTGGTCAACGGGTCTGGTCGTTCAACAGGGTCTGGGCTTGGGTTGGATCCAAGTTGGGCCTGAGCTTTAGGCTTGGGTTCTAAGGCCCAAATATCTGGGGTCCAAGGGTTTTGGGTCAAGGGCCTGGGCTTGAAAGCCCGGCCCAAAGCTAAAGGGTTTTGGGTTTTGAGCCCAAGTTCCACACTGCCCGAAGGCCTAATACAAAGGGTTTGGGGTTTGGGGGGCGGGCCAAGGGCCTGATGTTGGTCATGGCCCAAAAGGCCTAGTTTGGTGGGTTGGGTTTTCGGGCGTGGGTCTTTCGACCCGGTTCTCAACGAAACAAAGGCCGGACCTCCCAAGCTCCGGTCGACGGCGATTTGGACGATTCAACATATGATCTATAGTGCCAAAATGAAATTAGAGACGAGAGGACTGTTTTGGTGCCTTCAGTTCGCCGTGAAAAGGCCGGAGGCGGCCTGAATCTAGCTCGAAGCTCACGGGGTTCGCCGGAGCTAGTTCTCAGTTTCGTCAAGCTTCACAAAGGCTAGGGAGAGTAAGAGAGAACCCACGCGTCGATGCTGGTGATGGTGGTTCGTTGCCGACGATGTGGGTTTGCAAATGGGTGCGTGTGAGTGTAGAGATCGGGGAGAGAGAAAGATCTGGGAGAGGGAGACAGTACCGAGCTAAGAGAGAGACTCGAGAGTGTTAACTCGAGGGAGGGGAAATAGAGAAGAAGAGGAAGGGAAAAGTTGAGGGTCTGCCACGTGGCAGGCTGAGAGGGAAGGATACTCTAAAAGGGAGGACCTTGTTGGTTAAGGATAGGGGACTAAAATGTAACTTCATATACTTTTAGGATAATTGTGAAATTACATTAAACTTTTGGGGTTGGGGTTTCACAGTTTGCTTCCTTCTTCAATTCTCCATTCTTTTATTAATTCTACTATTTCTTGATGCATACAATCATTAATTTATTGGGGATAGTTAACTTCTACCTTCCAGGGGTGGGCATAAAAACCGCCAAACCGCAAAACCGCATCGAACCGTAAGAAAAAAAACCGAAAAAAACCGTGTTGACCGGAAAATTCAACTTTGAGTGAAAAACCGAACCGAACCGTTCAAACCGGTTCCGATTCCGGTTTCGAATGACCAAGAACCGGCCGAACCGAACCGAACCGTTTTATTAATAATAAATAAATAAATTATATATACACACACATGTCATGGTATAATAGGTTGAAAAATTGTGTACAGGAGCTGTTGCTTCTTGCTTGCTCTCTGAAGTCTGAAAACCTGCAATTTGCTTCATCATTTTGTTGTTCGTTGACTGATTGACTAGTGCATATGTATTTTAGTTGTCTCTTTTTGTTGACTTGGTGCCACTACCAAAGACATTTGCATTAAAAAAGATGTGTTGTATGCAACTTTATGTAATCAGTTTTAGAAGATGTATTTGAATGCATAATGATTTGGTGTTCAAATAATTTATTATTAGGAACCGTAAACCAGCAAGAACCGAATCGGAACCGGTGTAGACCGAACCGTAAGGTTCTAGTAATAAATTTAAGTGGAACCGCACCGAATCGAACCGTTAATATATTTCGGTTTCAGTTCCAATTTAGGGGTAGAACCGCACCGAACCGCACCGTGTCCACCCCTACTACCTTCTTCAAAGTGACTTTATCTGATAACTATCGACGTATGCATGTGAGAAATTGCTACGAAATAGCTCGGCCTAGATGGCTTGAATCAAGGCAAAACTTATCAGATAATTGCAATTTGTAAGTATTAGAATAGTAAACATGAAAAATTATATCGTACACCTAACGAAACAAGATATATATGATTATGCGTGACAAATGATAATATGACTACTTGTTTGGATCACTGTTTTAAAAATTTTCGCTAGCACCGCCTAGATCCTGCTTAGACATTAGGCGGTTCGTCATTGTACAAATTAATTACTAGGCATTTGAAAATTAAGAAGGGGTGTCTAGATCTGCGCAGACGCCCACCTAGCCCGCCTAAATTGCAACTCTCTGAAATTTAATGAATCTAGGGGTACGCAATTAGAATTTTAAGTTATTCTCTAAAATTTAACCTGTATTTAATCAAGATTTTAAAATAGTTTATTACAATTCTTATAAATCCAGCTGTATTCAATTAGGATTTTAAAAAAGTTTATAACATTCTAAGTGTCACATCCCGGCCCGGGCGGAACCACTTCCCGAGCCCGCTCCACCACCGTAGCACGATATTGTCCGCTTTGGGCCCCCACCACGCCCTCACGGTTTTGTTTTTGGGAACTCACACGAGAACTTCCCGATGGGTCACCCATCCTGGGAATGCTCTCGCGCGCTACTCGCTTAACTTCGGAGTTCCTACGGAACTCGAAGCCAGTGAGCTCCCAAAAGGCCTCGTGCTAGGTAGAGATGGAATATACATTTAAGGATCAGTCCCCTGGGCGATGTGGGATGTCACACTAAGTGTATTCAATTAGGAATTTGTTTTTGTGATATAAAAAAATTAGGAATGTGTTTTAAAAAATTTTAAAAAGTTGAGGAATCTAAGAGAATTGGAGAAATTTTCATAGTGTACATATTTTAAGCCTTCACAAATCTTACCTCTTCCTCTGAGATTTCGAGAGAATTTAATTAAAATTTTACATGAAATTTTCACAAATCCATCAAAATCCATGAATTTATAAATCCCTTAAAATCTCAATTAAATACACCCTCCTAGACAGGAAATAGGTACTTTTTATTTTTTATTTTATTTTTTCAATAAATTGTAAGAAGCTTGTTGAGTACTTGGATAAACACTCATTATATGTTTGTTCCCCATATTTTGAATATGTTCTAATATTATATAATCTATATGTCATTATATTTTATAATTTGTATCCTAATACGATTAAGTTTTTTGTGTAAGTATGAGTAGCTTTACTTATATATTATATAATAAATTTAACTAAAATTTAAAAAACCACTTAGACCTCACTTGAGCGCTAGGCACTAGGCCCTAGATTCAGACTCCTATAGTTTCTATGTACATATGTATATGTATAATATTAATATACACTTTATCAAGATCAAGATGCCTTGGAAGTTGGAACCATATGCTTGCACGTAACCCTTTAAAGAAAAAAATAATAATAATATTAATGTTGTAAACAGTGGGTATGTTTGCCCACATGTATATAGTAAAGATTCATATGCTAAATAGTAAAGTTTTTGTAAGTTTTTAAAGTAGTTGCTCTATAAATAGAGCACTACGAGTGTTCAAAACATATGATACAAAAGCAATAAGAAAATAAAGATAAGTTAGAATATTTTCAGCATCCTCTTATTTCTCTTTAATCTGCAATCATTTTGTGTAATATTTTGCAATAGCCTCGCTCCTATCCCTAGTAAAGGTTATTTCTTTAGCTTTTGCCTATTTATAACACGTTATTAGCACGACTCTCTAACCCTAAAACATTTTCTCATTTCTCTACACTAAAAGAAAAAAAATGTTTCCTCTAAGGTTTTTACTATTCTTCTTCTTCTTCTTCAATGTCTACAATACCCTCATGAAGAATTGTTTGCACCATGTTTACTTCTAGTTCTCAACCTAACAGTTACTTATATCTTTGATTTCTTGTTTGGTGTAACTCTTGACTACTAACCCAATGTTTATTTATGCAATCCAAAATGGTGCGGTATCATCGCCTATCTTGGACTGCAGATTTAATTTTACTGCAAATTTCAGGTGGAGCGGTATAATCATCCACCCTATCCTGCATATTTAAATTTGCCTGCTATTTAATTTTATTGCAATCTTAGGTGGTGCGGAATAATCACCCACCCAGCTTTGCATATTTAAATTTTATTGCAATTTTAGGTGGTGTGGAATAATCACCCATCCTGCTCTGCATATTTAAATTTTATCGCAATTTTAGGTGGTGCGGTATAATCGTCCACCCTGCTTGCATATTTAAATTTTCCTGCTGTTTAAAGTGGTGTGGAATAATCGCTCATCATATATTTGTTTAGATGAGAATGGTGCGGTACAATCGCACTTCTCATTAATCATGTAAATCTCGAGCCTAAAGTTTCGAGTACTTATCATTTTGGCATGAAGATCAAAATTTGTAAGAACCAGAAGTTCTAACAATATATTCCTCCATAATACATATTATTGTAAGTTCTTACACACCTCATTTTTCTTTCAGAAAAGAAAATGACGAACTTGGCAAAGCTGGATTTTGTTGTCCAAGATATTACTGGAAATAACTACCTTACCTAGGTAATGGATGCCAAGATCCATCTGGAGGCAGGAAATCTTAGGGATACCATTAAGGAGGATACCAGTACAACCTCTCAAGATTGGGTGAAGGCCAAGATCTTTATCCGTCGCCACCTTGATGAGGGACTGAAGAGCGAGTACTTTACAGTTGAAGATTCATTAACCCTCTGGAAGACATTGAAAAATAGATATAATCACCAGAAAACGGTGATTCTTCTAAGGGCTCGTTATGAGTGGACTCACCTAAAGATCCAGGATTTCAAGACGGTGGCTGAAAACAATTCTGCAATGTTCAGAATTAGTTCCCAGTTGAAGCTCTGTGGAGAAACAATAACTGAGGAAGATATGCTGGAAAAGACTTGTATCACATTTCAAGCCTCCAACGTGCTCCTGCAACAATAGTATAGAGAAAGAGGCTTTACTGAGTACAACCAGCTGATATCTGTACTCATTGTAGCCGAGCAAAACAACGAGCTCCTGATGAAGAATCATCAGTCCCGGCCTACTGGATCTGCACCATTCCCAGAAATGAATGATGATTCCCTTGAAGGGAATACCACATCCTCTCGTGACAATAATTACAAACGAGGACATGGCCACAAGTGAGGCCGGTGGAATTGGAAAGGCAAAAACCATGGTATCTAGGTTCACAACCAGGTTCCAAGGCCCCGAGCTTGAAGAATGCAAATCGCTAGAAAGGCAAGGCTCATATGAACATTCCTAGAAATCCTGAAGGAGTTTGCTATAGGTGTGGTGGCAATGGGCACTGGACGCGTACTTGTTATACCCCAAAACATCTGGTGGATCTGTATCCAGCCTCTATTAAGGAGAAGGGCGTTGAGACCAATTTCCTCGACCAGACTCAACCAATGGAAATACGTGATCTAGTGTCCAATTTATCAGGACAGTTGAACACAACCCACCTGGATGTTTCAGACTTTATTTCTGAAAGAGGAAATGAAGTTTACGGGTCCGATTGAATCATTTATATTTAATGTACTCCTGTTATTTGTACTTGTGGTTTAATGCTCACATTTTCAATTCAATAAAAGTAGTATTCCAGTACGAATAAATTGCTTTTTAACTGTAATTTCTTTACTCATAAAACATGGATAAAAATTATGGTTATTCTCAAAACAAGAGCAATGGTTGAGATTTTTGTCTTGCAGATTGCGCAACCACGCATTCAATACTTCGAGATCGAAAGTATTTCTCGAACTTGGTACTTGCAAAAGTAAAGGTAACAACAATATCAGGGCAATCAGATGTAATTGAAGGCTCAGGAAAAGCCCAGATTATGTTACCAAATGGAACAATATTGTTCATATAGAATGCGTTGTACAATACTCAATCCATTCGAAATTTATTGAGTTTTAAAGACATACGTCTAAATGGATACCATATTGAAACGAAAAGTTCAGAAAATGTGGAATATTTATGCATTACCTTTAATGATACCCAGAAGCGTATATTGGAGAAGTTGCATGGTTTATCGAGTGGATTGTATTATACATACATAAAGACAATTGAGGTACATATTGTCATGAACTAGAAGTTCATATATTCAAAAGTTTATATGCTTTGGCATGACCGTCTGGTTCATCCAGGATCCACCATGATGCATAGGATCATTACTAACTCTAATGAACATCCATTATTGAGCAGACACATTACTACCTCATATGATATCCCTTACAAGGCTTGTTCTCAAGAGAAGTTAGTAACTAGACCATCACAACTAAAGGTTGATGCTGAATCCCCATCATTTTTGCAAAGAATTCAAGGGGATATTTGTGGGCCTATTCAACCACCTTGTGGACCATTTCGATATTTTATGGTTCTGATTAATGCATCTACTCGATGGTCACATGTTTGCCTATTGTCTACTTGAAATGTAGCTTTTGCGAGACTTCTTGCTCAAATAATTAAGTTGAGAGCACAGTTCCCAGATCATCCTATTAAGTCAATCCGACTTGATAACGCTGGTGAATTTACGTCTCAAACCTTTGATGATTACTGTACGACACTGGGCATTGATGTTGAACACTTTATTCCTCATGTCCATACTCAAAATGCTTTAGCATAGGCATTTATCAAGCGGCTTCAATTAATAGCCCTCTACTCTGCTCATGAAAATGAAATTGCCAGTTTCTGCATGATGACATGCCATCTTACATGCTGCATCATTGGTTCGACTGAGACCCATAGCCAACCACCAATATTCATTAATACAACTCGTGTTTGGATATCAACCAAACATTTCACATCTACGAGTTTTTGGTTATGTTGTTTATGTGCCTGTTGCACTGCCACAACGTACTAAAATGTGACCTCAATGTAAACTGGGAATTTATGTGGGTTTTGATTCATCATCTATCATTAGATATTTGGAACCCTTGACATGTGATATATTTACAGCTTGTTTTGCTGATTGTTATTTTGATGAAACAGTCTTTCCGTCGTTAGGGGGAAAAAAGATCGTTTCAGAAGAATGAGAAGAGCTGACATGGGTTGTTCCCACCTTGTCTCATTTTGATCTGCGAAGCATTCAATATGAAAATGAAGTGAAAATGATCATTCATCTTCAAAATATTGCTAATCAAATGTCATATGCATTTAATGATGCTTTGAAAGTGACAAAGTCACATATACCAGCTGTAAATGCACCTACAAGAATTGATGTCCCTGTTGGACAAAATAAAGTGGCAGTGAATGATTCATCTAGTGCACGCTTGAAGCGTAGGTAGACCCCCAAATTCAAAAGATTTAGCCCCTCGAAAGAGAAAGATGAGGGCACAGTTGAACCCAAATGAAATCATTCAGAAAAAGAAAATGAATGATAAATCTACAATTCATAATTTTGTACTTCCAGAAAAAGAAAATCTTCTTGATGAGACATTTGTCCCTGAAGAGACATAAGTACATGAAAGCAAAGAAATATCTATAAATTATGCATGTACTAATGAATTGTGGGATCGAAATGAAATAATCATCGACAACATCTTTTCATTTGCAATAGCCACTGAAATTATATTAAACGATGACATTGAGCCCCGTTCTGTTAAAGAATGCAAACAGAGACAAGATTGGCATAGGTGGCAAGATGTAATCCAAGCAGAATTAAATTCCTTGGAAAGGCGAAGTGTTTTTGGACTGGTAGTCCAAACCCCGCCTAGTGTAAACCCTGTGGTTTACAAATGGGTATTCACAAGGAAACGCAACGAGAAAAACGAGATTGAAAGATATAAAGCACGACTCGTTGCACAAGGTTTTTCACAAATACCTGATGATAGGAGCATATTTAGACGACTTAGCTAGCTTATTCTTGTGCATTTGTGCTATTATTTCTTAGTTAATGTCGTATTTCAACTCATTTTCGTGTGTTTATAGGTCCACAGGATTAAAGTACCAAGAAAGTGCATTTTGGTGCATTTCGGAGCAGTTTTGGGCACTAAGTGGATCACTTGTATATGAGCCAACATGGACGGACGAATTTGGAGTTCAAAAGGCTAGAAATCTGATGAGAAGATGAAGGAACTAAACTCAAGACAAAGTGGATAAGGAATTAGCTCAAAAGAGGAAACATTATCCAAAACCTTATCCAACCTTATCCAACATTATTCATAACCTTATCCAACATTATCCAAAACATTATCTTGTCTTATCCTATCTTAACCTTATCATGCCTTAATCCTAGTTGCAAGGGGACCTAAATAGATATTTCTAGAACCTATTTCTATAAGCATTCTCTTCTAGAAGTCCGAAATCAACCACAAAGCTCATTCTTTCTAGAATCCCTACAAAGGTGGCGCCTATTCCCTTCTAGAAGGCCTTGCCTTGCAAGCCATTCCCTCCGTCCCTCCAATATGTGCCGCACCCTCTAGGCCCTATCCTTGATTGATTCTAATTTTTAGGGCCTCATTCCTTGTGGATTTGGGTTACACAAATCCTTTTATGAAACTAATTGGGCCAAACCCCCTCCTGAGTGGATTTAATGACCTATTACCGAACCCTAGGGCCCTAATCCACTAAATCTGCTAAGTGTAACCCTAATCTAATTAACCCTAGGACTATATAAACATAATTTCAGCCACAATTTCGTATCACCCCCTTATGTTATTCAGAAACTTATAGCCGCAAGCCCTAGCCTCCATTCTCCTTCATTCATTCACTCCATACACCTCTATACACAACCTGTCGCACTCTACCACCATAATCAGCAATTATTTATCATCCTAAACAAGAACACACCATTCAAAACCCCCAAATCCACCACCCACAACTTGTGCCGCAGCAAGGAAGAGGAAGGGAAGCCTAGCCGTGCATGCCATTCAACCTGGAATTGCTGAAACGTTTAGGTGTAATCTTTCTTGTGTTTTTCAATGTTTAATTTCAAGAATCTTTGCTTTGCGAGTATGAGGAACTAATCCCCCTTTTGCTAGGGGGAATTTCGAAACCATGGTTATATTTGCATTATGATTTGATTACTTCTAATTGTGATTTCATGAATGGTGAATTCAATTTACTTATCTATTTGAATTAAAACTTGTTTGTGTATGTGGGTTGAGAGTGTACACTTAATTTGCATGCATAAATCTGATGCTAGGATATAAGGAAACTTCACCTAATCGTTGGGAACTTATATTCATGAGTAGTTAAGGTTGTTAGTCACAATCATGTTAAGTAAATTCTTGGCATAAGTATCATGCACTTTTATAGTTACGAATGCCTCGTCAACACTTATGATTTTCATAGAAATTAATGATCTTTGATTGCTTCTCTATTATGCGCTTTCATGTAGAGAACTTTTGAGGAATAATTTGATTGCAATGCGCTAATTCCATTCAATTCAATTATCTAAGGGAAATCTGATAGTTAATTTAAGCGTACCTAATTAGCTTGGGGTGTTGAGGGTTATGATTCATTGAATAAGCAACTGGAGATTGTTTTGTATGCAAGTATGTCATGTGTGGAGAAAGACCTCTTAGCTAAACCATCATCCACTTAATTCCATCAAATTCGTGAAATCTGCCTAGTTTTAAATTCTTGTTTTGTTGATTTTATTTTCTTCCAAAACCAAATCCCCATTTATTTTAGAGTGTCTAACTAGTTAGAATGTGTTTAGATTGTGTTTTCAAGAGTTTTGAGTCAAGTTAGAACCAAATTTCGTCCAATTTTGTGTTTAGAGTCAAATCTGCCAGTTTGTGTTTTTTACGCAGTTTTGAGTGTTTTCAGCTTATTTTGAGTCTTGTGAACTTGTTTTGAGTCTTTCAAGTTGAGTGAAGTGTTTAAAAGCTTTGTTTTATCTATTTGAGTCAGTTTAAAGTGTTTAGCAATCCCTCATAATCCCCGGTTTAAGAACGATCCCTACTTACTTATATACTACAATTGTCAAAAGAGGGTTAATTTGTGTGTTAAGCTAATTTTCGCATCACCTGGAATTGATTATGAAGATACATACTTTCCTGTAATGGATGCAATTACGTTACGTTACTTAATAAGTTTGGTGGTTTCAGAAAAACTTGACATGAGACTTATGGATGTCATCACCGCTTATCTATATGGAGAATTAGATACTGACATATATATGAAAGTCCTATAAGGACTTAAGTTGCTTGAAGCAACTGACAAACAATGAGGTATGTTTTCAATCAAATTAAGGCGATCATTATATGGGCTAAAACAATCTTGACGAATGTGGTATAATCGTCTCAGTGAGTATTTGAATAAAGAAGGATATACCAACGATGTCATCTGCCATTATGTGTTCATTAAGAAATCAAATACTGGATTTGCTATAGTGGTAGTATATGTCGATGATATGAATCTCGTTGGAACCCCTAAAGAGCTCAATAAAACAGCTGAATATCTAAAAAGCGAATTTAAAATGAAAGACCTTGGGAAAACAAAATATTGTCTCAGCCTGCAGATCGAGCATTGTGTTAATGGAATTTTGGTCCATCAATCAGCTGACATTGAA